TAAGATGTAGACCAATGAAGATGTTCAAAAGATTCAGTCAACAGACTGACACTGTGCAAAAGCAGAAGAAATAGAAAATAGAACAGTCAGCAGGTCCATATTCTACATTGAGAGAAGCTTGAAGTCTAAGAACAACTAGGTAAAACTAGAGCCTACATTTAGGAGGAGATAGTTTGAAATACGAGGTTCACTACTTAATCCAAAACCTGATGCAGCATAGACTTCATGTTGGGCCTTTGCAATGAAACAAATTTCACATTAAGTAAGTGCAGTATTTCAGAACAGTGGCAGACTGACAACTCTCCAAGGTGAAATCCTCTACCTAGTCAATGGCAAGAAGAGTTCAGCCTAAACAGGAGCCCAGAAAAACTCTGTACACCTCCAATAAACATAATTAAACCTTATTTTTTGTGTTAAAACATGAAAGTCTCCATATGCTTCCACTGCTTTTCAAGTCCTTAGTCTGAAGATGTGATTTATGCATGGGAAGATTAAAAAGCTGTAAGCAATTCCTGTGTTTGGGTGTTACCTCAGGTCTTCGAAAGTGATCCTACAGATGTAATTAAGCTTTTGGAAAAGACATGCATCTGTCAGGGAGATTACTAAGGTTCCTGAAAGTCACATGTTAACGATGGTTAGCATTCTTTTGATAAAATAGATACTTTGGTTTATTAAACATCAGCTATAGTAAGCATTTCATTACTAACGACATCCTGTATCTTCATGGTTTGCTCCTTACCCTTCTATTTGAAATATTGTCATGGTTAGTTTTTGTACATATTCATCACTGAGTTATGGGCAAAGAGATGGGATTCCGCTAACCTAAACTTTACAAGGCAACAGTGCAGCAATTTATATGACAAACTCAGTCCAGATTCCCTTTGTAGTCAATGGAGAGATTTTGGGTGGGATAAGGCCTTCCTTAGGGACAGGTGATTCATCCTTGCGCATAAGTGCCTGTTACTCTTCATTGACAATAAAGGGAATGTAGGTGTGGAATTAATTTAACTAAAAATAGATGTCATCATTGCAGGTGTCTCTTAACTCTAAGCTAGTCAATGTGTACATGCATTCAGTACATACCCCTGGGGTTTACAGTGGGGGTCACCTCCTCTTAAGGAGGCATCTATAGCAGGCAAGAACAATTCCTTAAAAGTGCATTTTTCTCTGCCTCAGCTTTAGAGACATTATGTTAATAATTTCACTATAGATATCTCCATTATGTATGTCCAAACCTCGGTGAGGTGAATGTTGTTCTACATGACCACCCCAGATCTTGATGTCTTCACTGCAGAAGTTTATATTTGATCAAATTAATTTCACTTAAGACTCAGCATTTAAACTGAACAATTGTCTTAAATTGAAGAGGCAGGCCTAAATAGCAAAACAGTGACTACATAGTGTTTCTTCAAAGGCTATGCTTTGAAGATCTTTAGTTTCTTTTGACAGTCTGCGATATTTTGTCGCAAAAAAGTTGGGTGGTGAGAACCTCTACGACCAGGGCAACAAGCTCTTTGCCAGGGTAAAAGTTATACTGCATTTTATCCTTAGCTTAATAGTACACAGTGTCATCTGTCAAATCTTGTGTAAGTTACAATGGCTTTTTTGAGCTACACAACTTTGCAATTAGTCCAGCAGAAGCAGCTACAGTCCCAGCAGAAATGGCACAAGACACATCCTTGGAGATACCTGGAACTGATGGGAGAGTAAGCTCTAAGCTACAATTTTCACCTCTCTCTCAGAAACAGAAAAAAAAAAGACAACCACAAATTTCCTTACACAATTGCTTCTGGAGCTTCAGGTCCACTGATGTAGAGGACCCGTGTTTTCTGATGGCCTCCTTCATTCATTCTGAATGGCATCATCACGTATCCTGCTCAGCAGCTCTTAGAGTTGTACCTGCATGTTCTAAATCTAGAGATATATCTTTGTTACATCCTATTCACAGAAGCTGGAAGAAGTTATTTAGACCATTTAGAACCCATTGTTCCTTGTTCCCTATTGCACAGTTGCTAAAAAATGCTTGGGTTTTTTCATCGGATATACAGTTACTCTATTTGTTTAGGTCACAGCATTAATTTGTCTTCTTGAAACCTGTTTTAAAATGCACAATAGGAACACACTGGAATATTCAGTAGAAATCACTGGAAATTCTACTCAGCAATGCAATGTGTTGTGATTTTCATTTCCAATTCATGCCCAGTTATGTCCTGTGTAATATCCATAGACACTTCAGCAGTCTCCTTAATAAGTGTGGATGTGCAATGGAAAAATAAAGAAGACATAGTTCCTTCAGATACTGGTCAAAGTTAGATAACCTTTCTACTTTCTGTTCCTTTTACTATAAAGATATCTTTCCATAATTCAATAGAGGAGTGAGGAAAAACAGCAGACACCATTATCTGTGCCTTTTTGTACTAACAGTTTATGGAAAGGCCACATTCATAGCCATGCTATTGGAGAAAATCTTATGTTTAAACTGCGTCTAAGGAAAATAACAGCTGAAAAATAGAATGTTAGCCTCAACAAAAATTGAAATACTACTTGTTTTTTTTTAAGTAACCTTAAGACATTCCTCTACCTGTTGGAATGTAAACAAGACTTTTGCTAGACCTTTTTGGAGAACGTATCTCTTCTAAACAGCCAGTTTAAACAGAATTGAATGACTCTTGTCCTCAAAACTTTTGGATCCATCCCATAAGTTTCTTGCTTGTATGAAAGAGTGTGGGAAGAAAAAAGCAACTTTTTTCAAAGATGAATATCTTTGGCTGTTACACTCCTGAGAATTTCACTGTGTCCTTTAACATCTTCATTTCACCATTGCACATAAACTTACATGTCTCACAGGTGCTGTGTTAAGTCTTCTTTCTTCCTAATGCTCTTGCAAAAACAACAGTTCATCATCATCCACACCATCATTAGTATCTCTCAAGTTTTTCATATTATTAAAATCTTCTTTTCCTCTTTATCAATCTTAATAGTCTATAAAATTCTGAATGTGTTATTTCTTACATTTCATGTATTTTCTTCCTGACTGTTGTGACAATATTGAAGACAGCATCTCACATAAGTTGATGATGACATTATATTTCATGATCTTACAAACTAATTGTATGATTAATCAGATACAATTAATGCCAGAAAACTGACAATAAAGAAAAGTCTTCCTCTGCATCTTTCTGAAAATTAATCTCCTATGACTGCCGTGAGATACAACCTACTAATAGACAATTCTATTCTGACTTTTAAATTAAGATAACATTTATTCTGTTGTTGTTGTTGTCATTAATTTTGAATACAAAGAGTAACAGATTTTGAGAGATGATACTTCTTTGTCCAGTTTACTGCCTTAATTTCATTTCTTTTTTATTCCATGGCTAATTTAAGACACTTAGGTTCTTTACATCCTTTTTTGTTTATGGAGATAATATTATTCTATAATCTTTTCCACAATAATTCTGTTTCTTTTCATTAATCTGATTACATGTCCATAGAGAAAAAGGACTAGAAGGGACCTTGAAAGGTCTTTTAGTCCATTACACTGGGTCACTTCTGTATAGCATACTCTTTCTAGAGATCACCAAAGTTGGAGACTCTGTATGCTTTTCATCAACCTGTTCCAAGATCGTTCCTCTCTTTTTAAAAAAAAATTGTTCAATGTCTAACTTGATAACTCACAAGAACTGTATTCTCTGGGACTTTCACCAAGACTGAGATTTGGTGTGCATCAGACTAATGAATCATGTGTGTTTAGTACAATCTCAAGGCAAGGGCTGTGACGTATTTATCATCATTAACGCACAAAGAATGAGTAAGGGACACCAGCAATGAACTGATGTCCCATTTCCAGTTTAGTATTGGAAACAACAGCATATGTTCACAGAGTTCTTCGAGATGTATTAATTAAGTCTTCACTTTCAGTAAGACAAACACACCATTTTTGGGATGTTGTTGAGCACGTATTAGCAAATTCAAATGTGTCTGCAACATACCATATAGATATAAACAGAATGAGCATCTGAATTTCAAAAAGTATGCAGTTCTTCTAAAAATTTTTACGGCTCGTTAGCTTCCTTTGTCCTCCACCTACCTCCTTAACTTACTTGAAGGAAGTCAATCATATTTTTTCCTGTTTGAAAATCTAGAGGTTATTTTAGGCCACTTTGTTTATAATAAAGCACTTGCCTTATTTTCAGGTCAATATTTGCTTTCTCTTTGGTCTTTTTTGCTGCTCAATCAGCAAATGACACTGACTAAAACATGCATAAGTCTTGGCTGGACCCCTGCTTTTGGGGAATTTCATCCATACTCAGTTAAGTGCTTACAGGTACACACATTCATTTCCAGCCCTTTTGTTTATATCTACTGAGTTTGATTTCCTTCTAAAACCTCTTTATATTGATGTAATGGAAATTAGTTACACAATGGAATTACACTTAGGTTTCCAACAGCATAAATGAGACCAAAATCAGGACCTTGAGGAATAGTCATGAGTAGAAGAACATACAGGGGTTTTTTAGCTTTATTAGTATTGCTGGTTTGGAATTTTTTGCTGTGCAGAAATATATTCAAACACACAGACACACACACACACAAAGTGATTTCAAACACTCCACTGGGATTAAGCAATTGGGTGAGAGGTTTATTATTGTGTTATGGTAGCAGTCTGAATCCCTTAGCAAGATTACTCTCCTCATGTTTGGCACAGTAGAAAAAATCCCTGCTTATAATAATGCAAATTAAAATAACAGTACAGAGTATTAAGCATTGCTAATGTGCTATTATTGTAGCAGTGTGAAGAAGTGGGAGCAAACTACAGTGTGTGTGAAATCACTGTTTGGGAACAAATGGGAATGTTGTATATTTGTTTGTATAATTACACAGTGTATGTATTTCCCAAAAGGGAGGCCACAAAATATTTTCTGTGTTTTCTTCTTTAATTAAAGTACAAGTTGTTTATTACAAAGCTGCATTAAAGTTCTTTCACTCTATTATAACAGGAGACTGGCTCGCTCTACACTACTGCTTATCCCCTTGTTTGGAATTCACTACACGGTGTTTGCTTTTTCTCCTGAAAATGTCAGTAAGCGGGAGAGACTAGTGTTTGAATTGGGACTGGGATCTTTCCAGGTGATTATACAGTGAATTCTGTTTTTGTTAAAAAGAAATCTCTATTCATTAGAACTACTTTGCATGCACAGTTCTCAGACTGTGTATTTGTTTATTTATGTATATGCTTTGTATCCTAGGATTTTGGGTTTTGTTTGTTTTAACTCCAGCTATTTTCTAACATTTACTGAAGGATTTGAATTACATTTTTTTTTTTCTCCCATTTACCTAGGGTTTTGTTGTTGCTGTTCTCTATTGTTTCTTGAATGGGGAGGTAAGACTTTTAATATTTAACCTCCCTCACCCACCATCCCCATCCCATTGCCTTGTGGGAGTAACCGCTATTCTAATCCTTCACTGTAACTCATCATCTACCATATCACCTAAAACTGTAGGCTGAATCTCACATCATCTCAGAAAAGAAAGAGGATGTGTTGATGTCTTTATTAAACTAAAACATTGGCCTTGCCAGAGATGATGGCTCGGATTAATGCTTCCTAACAGAGGTCAGGACTATACTGGGCTCTTTTGTTATGTCATCCCAGCTGCAGAATTTTGCACTTGTCCTTGCTGAACTTCATACAGTTCTTGCTAGCCCACTCTTCCAGCCTGTTCAGTACTCGCTGTAGAGTGGATCTCCTTTCTGACATGTCCACCTCGTCACACAGATGGGTGTCATCAGCCAACTTGATGAGGGTGCTTTCAATCCCATCGTCCAGATCATTTTTGAAGATGTTGAACAGTATGGGGTGCAGTATCAATCCCTGGACAATCCCACTAGTAACAGGCTGCCAGCATGAGTAAAAACAGTTGTTCACCACCTTCCGAGTGTGGCCTGTTAGCCAATTTCCTACCCATCTTGCAGACCACCCACCCAATCCATATCTTGCCAGCTTCCCTAGGAGAAGGCTGTGGGAAACAGTGTCAAACATTTTGCTGATGTCCAGGTAAACAACATCCACTGCCTTCCCCATGTCAACAGAAAACATTATTTTGTTGTAGAAGATGATCAGGTTAGCCCGGTATGATTTGCCTTTGGTAAATCCTTGCTGGCTTTTCCCAATCAATGTGATAGTTTCTAGGAGGTCTTGTTCCATTATTTTGCCAGAGACTGAATTAGCACTGATAGGCTTGTAGTTTCCTAGGTCTTCTTTGGAATAGAATAGAATAGAATAGAATAGAATAGAATAGAGCAGAGCCTCTTTTGGGCCCTTCTTGTAGACTGGTATGACATTTGCCCTCTTCCAGTCATCAGGGATATCCCCTGATCTCCATGACTTTTCAAATATTATAGACAGTGGCCTTGAAACAATGTCAACCACTTCTCTTAACACCTCAAGGCGGCTTCCACCTGGGCCCCTAAATTTATGTGGGTTGAGCCCCTGCAAGAGGCTGCAGACCAGCCCTTCCTCCACTACTGTTGGGTCAGCACGTGTGTTGTCATAGCTACTTGATCCTTTGACCTGGGGTCCAGCCACACCAGAAAAGACAGAGGCAAAAAAGGTATTGAGAACCTCTGCCTTGTCAGCATTATTAGTGACTAGTTTCCCTGTGCTGTTTAGCAATTGTCTTGTGTCTTCCCTGTGCTTCTGCTTACTGCTCACATACCTGAAGAACCCCTTCTCGTTGTTCTTGACTTTTTTGGCCATTTTCAGTTCTAGCTGAGCCTTAGCCTTCCTGATTGCATCTCTGCATGCCCTAGCAAGGTTCTTGTAGTCCTTGATGCATATTTGGCTGCCTTTCCATAGCTGGTATGCTGCTGCTTTTGCTTTTAAGAAAAAGCTTATTGTTAAGACAGCTGGTCTCTTGTTCTGTCTTCTTCCTGTCCCTTTGTATGGGATGGACTGTTCTTGTGTTTCCAGGAGGCTATTCTTGCACTCACAGGCTTCTTTGCCCTCCATGGATGCTTCCTATGGAACCTCTCATGGCTGAGCTTTGAACATATTGAAACTGGCTCTTCCAAAATCCAGGGTCTTTGTCCTACTACTGGTCTTCAGTGTGCTCAGCAGTACCTTAAACTCCCCAGTGCTATGATCACTGTATCCAAGGCTACCATTGGTCATTAGTTATGTTGTCAAGTAAGTCTTCTTGGTTTGTGAGCGGTAAACCTAGCAATTATAGAATCATAGAATCATTTAGGTTGGAAAAGACCTTTAAGGTCATCGAGTCCAACCTAACACTGCCAAGTCCACCAATAAACCACGTCCCTCATGTCTACATGTCTTTTAAATACCTCCCAGGATTGTGACTAAACCACTTCCCTGGGCAGCCTGTTCCAATGCCTGACAACACTTTCAGTAAAGAAATTTTTCCTAATATCCAATCTAAACCTCCCCTGGTGCAACTTGAGGCCATTTCCTCTTGTCCTATCACTTGCTACTTGGGAAAACAGACCAATACTCACCTTGCTACAACCTCCTTCCAGGTGAACAGCAATGCACTGTTCCTAGTCGGCCTGTCCAGCGTCTGTAGCAGAAAGCAATCCTCAATACACCCCAAGAACCTGATGGAGGACTTGAGTACCTCTGTGCTTTTTTTCCCCAAAAATGGCTGGGAAAAATCACCCAAAAGAAACAGGCTTTGTTGGCCTGAGACTTCCTTAAGCACCTGAAGTAAGGTTTCATCAGCTTCCTCATCCTAATTGGGAGGTTGATAACAGATACCTAACAAAAAATCCCCCTTGGTGACAATTCCTCTAATCTTGATCCAAAGGCATTCAATAGAACTTTTGATGTCTCCATAACTCACCTTCATACACTCAAATTTCTATTTTACACAAAGGGCAACTCCACCTCTTCTTCTTCCCTTCCTATCTTCCCAAAAGAATTTGTAGTCATCCATTGTGATCTTCCAGTCATGTGAGTATTCCCACCAAGTTTCTGTGTTTTCTATAACATCATAACTCTCTGACTGGGCACGGAGCTCCAGTTTCTCCTGTTTGCTGCCCAGACTACATGCATTGGTATACACAAACTCGAGGTAACTGGACTTAGGATTCTTGCCTTTGAAGAGGTTTGGGGCAGCATTCCTCACTACTCTGGTAAGTGAACTCATCCAACCTGCTGCCTCTGAATATGCAGATGTCACACCTTTGGACACTACCCCCCCAAATTCATTAGTTTAAAGCACAATTCACTAAGTCAGCCAGTCTGCTAGTGAAGATTCTCCTGCTCATCTCTCCCCAATAAGCTGTATTCATTAAAGAATGACCTATGATTGAATAAAACAGAACCCTGGCAATAACACCAGCCATGAAGCCAGGTATAGATCCATATGATGCATCAACTTCTGCCTGCACTCCCATCTCTGACTGGCAAGACAGAGAAGAAGATCACTTGGGCATCTGTCCCTTTCACTTACACCTCCAGGGCTCTGAAGTCCTGCTTGATCTTGCCGAGGCTTTACTTTACCATGTCATTGGTGCCCACATGGAAAAGAAGTAGGGGGTAGGAGTCTGTGCTTTTGACTGGTTGTGGCAATCTCTCTGTGACATCCTGGATCTTGGCTCCTGGCAAGCAGCAAAATTCACTTGATCATATATAAAGCAGGCAACTGTACCAAGTGGTTGGTTCATAAGGAGAGTGAAGTGATAACCTGCTCCCATGGGTCACCAAAGACCACGGCTCCTCTTCCTTCAAGGTGCTGTCTGTTCACTGGTGAAGCTCTTTGTCTGGTAGTCCTTGGAGGTCAGTGCCACAGGGCCCTAATATTTCTTTTTGCAAAGTCTCAATAATCCATCTGGTTCTTGTTCACCCTCTCTGACATAACATAGCCTGCTAACTTCTCCTGCAGGTCCTCCACCTGCTGCCTGAATAACTCTACCAGCGCTTACCTTGGGCGGGTGCAGCTTCCACCTTCCTCCACCCAGGAGGTTGGGGTTACAGTCTTTGCATCCCTCCACCTGAACAGCAGCTTCCCTGGTACGAAGCTCTGTCTAGGTGGTTGCCTCCACTCTTCCCAGGCTAGCCTGGCTAGGTAGCTGATTCCTGTCTGCTGCAGAGCACAGCCCTTGCCTGGTCTTTACCGTCATGCTTCCAACAAGCTCAAAGCACTGCCTAATAAACCCTTCTGATGCCCTGGAGACCTCAAGCTGCTTGGTGGGCTTGCAGAGCCACCAGCTAGGTTGGGTGACCATGGAGGCTGCAGCCTAAGCCTGCAGGTAAGCAGAGCAGGCAGCAGCCCGAAACCCAGCAGAATCCCCAGCCCTTCTTGCACGAACTGCCACATAAACTGCTGATGCCGCTCCCAACAGATGCCACGTCCTGTTGCTGATGCTGCTCTCAACCCAATACCCTGTTGCTGATGTTCTTCCCAACAGACACCGTGCCCTGTTTACACTCTTGAGGTCGCTGGCACTCGCCAGGAGCCAGTTATATGTGGCTTCCCACGGTTCGATCTGGCTGTGGGGACAGCTGGCATCACCCAACTGTTGCCCACTCCTCTCATGAGACCTGCCATCTGCCAGCTGGTCCCTCCACACACACAGCCCAAGGGTGTTGGATGCCCAGAAGCCCCCTCAGACATCCCCTGGGTACCTTGCAGGCTTCATGGTAACTCTCAGCACATGGTCACTGCTGCTGCTGCTGCTAGCGTCAGCTTCCCACGTTTGGTTTTTTTCTGATTCACCCATTCTCATCTGCAAATTGAAATTCCCCTGCCTTTGTTTATCAGACTGAATACTTGAGATAATTGTTTTCTGAATTAACAGAAAAAGGCTCCCTCCTCAAGGCTGCCTTAAGAGGAATATCTACAGTTCATCCATTCTCTCCTCCACTGATACACATCTATTGTGCAGTCCAACAGGAGAAGACTTCTCCTAAAATCACCTTCTTTTTTTCTTTCCAAGGAGGCTGAGACCGTTTATTTCTACCAGATTTAGTGCAGTAGTTGTTCTATGCTTGTTCACATATAGCGTGCAATAGCTGGTCTCTAGTACAATATGTCTCTAGCTCCTTGATCCAAGTGATTCCTTCTGAGATAGCCATAACAATCTCCAAGTTCATCATACAAACTTATAGGTCATCTTTGATCATGGGCTCAGTCAAGGTAACTGTCAAAAGACCCACAGGTCTGTTAAAGCATTAGTCATAGCTCAGCCCCAAGTAACTCAGAAGGTGAGTTCTGGATCATGCCTTGCTGGAATTAGTGGCTGCATTCATTCTTCACCAGCTGGCATTACTGGATATCCACCTCTCCCACTTACAACTGTTGTTTCATTTATTAGATTCCATGAGTGCTAAAAGAATAGCTATAAGGTCTTGCCTAAAACTAATCTGGAGAGAAGCACCTTCCAAGGTAACATGCACAGTGTGTCAGATTTCCTGAAACCCCTTGGAGGGAGTGGAGTGGTCATTCTTAGCCAAATTAACACAAACAGATTAATTAAAACCATTTTACCTCTCAAGACATTAAAGAATGTCTTGTGCCTCCGCTAAATTACTTAGGTTAAGAAAGCATTCACTTTTGGCATATTACACTGTTACAGATGCCAACACTATTTTCTTTTTACAGAGGTAATATACCTCCATACTCTATCTAATCTATATCTATCTATACTTTAATCAAAATAGAAATTTACAGATAGTAGAAGGAGAATGCAAGTTTTCAGGTTGGATTTTTCCTCTCTGCAGTTTGTGTCCATACAGTTGAAGCACTTGTTCAGCATTTTGGAGTATGCTGATCCATTTTGACAATTGTATTAGTCTAGGAAAATCTAGCAATGACTGTTACAGACAAGAAGAACATCTTTGACACAGCAGCTCATTGGAGACCAGCAAAATATTTTGGTAAAATATATCTACATATTTCCTTGTACTTGTGCTGTTTCATTCAGAAATATGCTACACGCTAGTGCCAGGAATGAGTAATAAACCCAGCAAATGTTGATCTGAGTTAGTATGATCTTTCTTATATTAAATCTTCACTATCTTATATATATATATGTACACTTGTGCACACCTAGCAGGATTGCCAGGAAATTGGTGATCAATGAAAAGTAGAAAAGCTACAGATTTATTTGCTTATTTTCTAATAGAACTTCTGGCCATAGATTGTTTTACTCTTGGTGATTTACTGTGGGAGCCTGTGAAAAAAACCTCAAAGGAAAGGAGGTTGTCACAGCTGTATATCAATCCAAGAGCTGTTGTCTGCTTAGAAGTGATCTGAAAGCAGGAGGCAAAGTTTTCAGTAGATGTGCATCCATTAATGGCAGGTGAGACACAAGCTGCCTGTACAGACAGGGTATTTCATTACTGTCTAGTACCTTTTGGTTGCTGGTTTCTTTGGCTCCTTGTTAGGTATTTGCCTCTGGCCATTGATGAAAACAGAATATTTTTTTCCAAGAAGCTAGCTCAAGAACCATGTTGGAGTTTGTGTTGAACAGGTCTTCTATGCACCTCTGGGCTGATCCTAAATTATCTGAAGTCAGAGACACAGAACCTGAGCTGTTGCTCCCACTGCATGCCTGGACCTCTTTCAGACATGGAGAAGTCACTTCAGATTTAATAGTCTTAAAAATATTTCTGTCCAATTGTGGTTTCTTTTTCTAATCTTGATAATTTGTCAGCATGTCCTCGAGCAGCTAAGTACATAAAAATTGACCTTTTGAAGTTTCTCCCTAAAGGTGCAATCAGAAATAAAGAGAAAATGGAGGAGCTGGAAAGTCAACCGGTATTTTGCTGTGGATTTCAAACATCGCCATCCTTCTCTAGCGAGCAGCGGAGTGAACGGGGGGACACAACTCTCCATTCTGAGCAAGAGCAGCTCTCAGATTCGGATGTCCAGCATAAATGCAGAGAACCTAGCGACATGAGCAGCTAAGGAAAACTAACCAATCAACAAGCAAACCAAAAACCATCCCGTTAAAAAGAAAAAAAAATAATCATCATTTTGGTGGTGGTGTAGATCCTTTCCTTTCCTTTCCTTTCCTTTCCTTTCCTTTCCTTTCCTTTCCTTTCCTTTCCTTTTCTTTCCTTTCCTTTCCTTTCCTTTCCTTTCCTTTCCTTTCCTTTCCTTTCCTTTCCTTTCCTTTCCTTTCCTTTCCTTTCCTTTCCTTTCCTTTCCTTTCCTTTCCTTTCCTTTCCTTTCCTTTCCTTTTCTTTCCTTTCCTTTCCTTTCCTTTCCTTTCCTTTCCTTTCCTTTCCTTTCCTCTGTAGAGGTGAAAAAGCAAGGAAATGTGTATATATATCTTTTTAACAATCGCTGTAAATACCCAAATGTACTCAAGGCCATTAATGGAAAAACGTTAAAAAGATAAACAACAGGCCAAGCCCACCCACTCAATGATTTACATTTCAGAGCACCTGCAAGTAATCCGTCGTCAGTCAAAAGTAACAAGTGATTGCTGTGCAGTTGTGATCCTTGGTTGCCAAACTGATACTAATCTGTGAATGGACATGACAGTTGTTATTTTTCAAATTGGTTTCCATTTTGGTTTGGATTTGCTTTTTTTTTTTTTTCCCTAGTCGAATGTATCTTAGCCTGTCCCTGTCTTTTGGCATGCGAATTTCTGCAGTGTTTCTCTTTTGAGTCTTAGGATGGAGCTAACATGCTTGGGTTAATCAAACCAGCCCATTCAGGAAGAACTCCAGATAACTGAGTTCATGGCTGGATTTAGTCAGATGTTCCCAGTGGACTTAAGGAAACTGCTGTGCCAATGTGAAGCTGCATAGGTACTATCAATCAGTGCGGGGACTCCAGGCAAGAGATGGGCTCAGCTGCCCTTTTCCATACCCAGGGACACTTCTGAGAACGCTTTACATTCTAGCTAAGCTGTGAATTTACTAAAAGGGCCGTGCAGTTGAGATATATTTATATTTTTGGCATTGACTGATTGATAGATTGATTGATTGATCAGATTCTTTGAATAACAAAAATAACTGTCCCTTCCTTCCCACCTTAAGAGCAAAAGTCAGTCCCAGGATGGCCTTTCCCTCCAGATAACCTTGATCCCTCTGCACCTGTGTTCAAACCCGGCATGTTTTTGGGTAGTGCTTTCACACAGAGTGTGGTGCCTTTGCAACCTGGTTGACTTTTGTCTGTTGACTCTTCCCTGCCAGAGCAAGAGGCACAAGAAGGATCTGGCATGATCATCTTGGAAGGTAAAAGTCATCTGCATTTGGTGAGCAACTAAACTGAACTATAAGATAGTATGGAAGGAAAAGATACTGACTTTGGATGACTTCCCACATCTGGCAGTTTTCTCTCTCTTTGGATATTCTGTTTGTTTAACCACCAATGGTCTTACTGCTTTTCTTTGAGAGGAACTAAAATGTTCTTTCAACCTTTGCCTTGTAGTTAAAGCCACGACTGGTATATATCTACTTCAATCAAATGTCGATGATGTCAATTCTTAAAAGTCTTTATACAGTGCATAAAGGCTTTGAGGACGGTCTTAGCTCTCACTTCATTTTGGATTTATGAACTGATATATATATAATATATATGTGCGTCTATGTGTATGCATATATTAAAAAATGAAAATGACATTTTAAATGTGAAGTTTTGAACTAAAACTAATGGTAACCAGGAAATTCAAAATTCAGGCTTGTTCTTTGGTGTTAGTTGACATGACCATGAACTAAAAAAAAAAGTGAAAGACTCAGAATTTTGGTGCCAGCTGAGTGTGAGCTTTTAATTTCACTGGTTTTTGTTAGTTTAGGTAAAAAAAAGTTTTAATGTCATTTTAAGCATAGGTGTTTAAAAACAATGCTAGTTTCCTTGTTTTTAAAAGGAGAAAAAAAGGTCTCAGAGAGTTGTGAAAGAAATATTAATTATAATATTTAACACTTACATTGTGCTTTATGGGACATAATCTGTTCTCAGTTGTAGCAGTGTGAATGTAAGTATAATTTGAAACAGAGAGAAATGTTGAGATTGACTTCATATTTGTACAGGATCATGCTCTTACAAGATGCTTACACCCCTTTCAGGTGAAATCTTGCACAGAAGACCAGCAAAAAGATTTAAATTACTTACTTTATACTCTAGTATCTTAACTGGGAGTTAAATGATCCAGACACCTTTTTTTTAAGTCTTCAGCACTGGTTTGCTGCTCTGAGAGCAGAATTTGTCCCCCCTCTACCAGACTCTCTGCAAAAGTCACTGAAGTATTTTTAACTGATAGATTGCAGCTTCCTCTCTCATTAGTTGCTGCTAAAAGCTATTTTAGAAAGTTTCCCAAGGAACCATGCACTTTGCAGTCCAGAAAGACAGGGGAGATGGGGAAAGTCGGATCTATCAGGTAAATGCCTACTTAGACATTTTTTAAATGAGACTATCTAATGTTAGATGAATAGATAACATTTAGTTTTGTATTTTCTGTAGTATGGGCTTTCACAAGGTATTGTATTGACAATACTGTAAGTGCATTACTTAAAAAAAATAAAAAATATATAATTCGCATGAATGGCTAGTAGCCAATTTTCAAGCACTAATAAATTAGAACTTTTGAGAAAAAGGTGTTGAATAACTGCCTCTAGCTGGTGACTTTTTGCCATGTTTCAGTCCAGAGCAAGAAGGCATTTGGATCTTTTTTTTTTATTTTTGTTTCTATTTTGGTTGTTGTTGTTGTTGAGGCTTTTTCTGAGCTTACTTTTGGATTCTGTTGTTTGCCTGGCTGTCCTACAGTGCTCTGCAATTTGAGTTGGTGGATCTCAGTCCAGTGCCTCGTGGGCAAATGTCCACATCACCAAAACCACCCTCCAATCATGCACACTGGAGACCAGGTCCTCAGCTAAATTAAAATCAGTACAGAAAACTGTTATCATTAGAAAAAAGCCACTTCACTTTGGCTTGGGATTTGGCCTCAGCACATTACTATTACTATTATTTTCTGCCGGTCTCAGCAAGAGAGGCCAAGGACTGAATAGTCATGAGAATTTGGACTTGCCCCTTAAATTCCTAGAGCCAATGCTCAGGAGCAAGACAAGTTGGAAGGCAGTGGAGGGGAAATTTCTGCTGTTGAAGTCCCTGTGTTTCTTGTTCAGTGGGCAAATTGAAGTCTTTAGTACCTTTCACCAGCACTGAATTTACTAGAAGAAATGGTATCTCTTGGCGTATTTAATATACAATATATTATACAAGCAACCCCCTTCTATTATGATTTTTTTATTGGCAGAGTTGATGCACTTGCAAATGTGGCTTTCCTTAGTCACTCAAACTTTCTCAGTGTTACTGGAAAGATCATACTTCAGGTGTCTATTTTTTATCTAAATCAGACGCTGATGCCATCGCACAAATTAGCTCTCAAGAAATCTTTATGTTGAATGTAAGCTGAAGATGCTGGACATGCATGGCCACCATTGACAGTGGCTATCATTTCTATTTGTTTCAGGATGGAAGAAACCAGCAGGTGGTTTGCTTCTAAGTGAGTGTAAATATCAATTGAATGTAACAGTGCTTTGTTTGATTTTTCACTGTGAAATATATTTTGGAGCTAGAAAGGCTATGCTATTGAAAACAATACATAATTAAAAGAAAAACAAGTGTGCAGTGCTCCTTGAGCCATTTTTTTCTACCATGTCCGTAATGTATTTCTTGTCTAATTTTCTTATTTTGCTTTTGTAAATGTACAAAAAGTTTCTGTGCTGCAGCTTTTGTGACTATTTACTGTATCTAACCACTGTTTGATTATTGACTTTTTGATGTGGAGTGCTGGTACTACAGGACAATTAACATCCCAAAATGAGAACTACATCCTGTATTTCAAAGGACAAGACTTGTTTCATTGTTGCATGATGACCTCACCTCCTTCTAGCTTCACCTACATTTGTTATATCTGAAACTCAGACTCCAGGTAATGAAACTTAAATGCTTAGTTTGGGGAGTTTTTATTTCATAGAGGAAAAATACCCAAGTTCCTCTGCCTCATTTAAGCATTTGTATTTGAAAACCCAGTGTTAAAATGGGGTGGTAGGAGAAGGGAGAGAGATGAAGGCAGGTGAGTCCAGAGTGAAATGCCAAAAAGGTGCAGTTTGGAAGTTAAATTCAGACACTGTATTTGGTGTCTAGCTCCTCCTTTGCAGCAGCTGTCCACCTTTGCAACTAAAGAGCTGTGTCTTGCAACTACAAGGCTAAATAACAACCAGAAGTGAGCAGGAACTGGCTGTGCTGATAATTTGAGATTCCATTTGCAAAGATGACTCTTCCTAGACTCTCTCCATCGTCAATGGCAAGTGTGAGATACCCTCCAGGAAGGAATGCAGAGCTGTTCATAGTATCATAGAATCAACAGCCCAGGTTGGAAGGGACCTTGGGCACCCATCTGGTCCAACCTTTCATGAGGAAGGGAGCCTAGATGAGATTATTTACCACCCTGTCCAATCGCATCTTGAAATCCTCCAATGATGAGGACTCCGCTGCATCCCTGGGGAGGTTGTTCCAGTGAATGATTGTTCTCACTGTAAAAAATTTCTTTCTTATGTCAAGATAAAACCTCTCCTGGTGCAACCTGTACCTGTTCCCTTTGTCTTCTCCATGTGGGTGCTTGTGAAGAGACAGCCTCCATCCTCTTTGTAGCCACCCTTTTAGTACTAGAATACTGTGATGAGGTCCCCCCTGAGCCTTCTCTTCTTCAGGGAGAAAAGACCTAACTCCTTCCATTTTTCCTCATCGAGCAGGCTGTCCATCCCTTTGATCATCTTCTTGGCCCTCCTTTTGACCCTCTCCAGTGGGGCCGCGTCTTTCTTGAATTGTGAGGACCAGAACTGGACACAAAGTGGAGTTTGTTAGACTCCTGCTCAAAACCTGACCTGGGAGAATCCGATCCTCTTCAGCAGTGACGAAAGGATTAGTTGCCATAATTTACATTGT